AGCATGTGGACAAGACCCCCCAGACACGTGGAAAGAACTCTCTGTATTAACTCAGAGCCCTCCACCATCCAGTGTCTCCGGCTGTTGGAGATATCTGCTAATAGCAGTTGCAGATGGGCCATAAGCCATTGTAGGCAATCTCATCATATCATTCTCTCCATAAACTTATCAAGTTCAGTCATGAAGCCAGTTAGGTTTTTTGCCCCACTATTTCCCCAGGAAGGCTGTTCCAGAACTTCACTCCTTTGTCTAATTTCAAGACTAAACTTGTTGATGGATCAGTTTATATCCATTAGTTCCTGCGCCAGCATTCGCTGCACCTATTCCAATTTGAGTTCATCTTCCTTAAACATGGGAGACCAGAATTGCTCAGCCCCTTTGCAGAACAGAGCTCTAAGGAAGCTGAACCCCAATTTTGGTTAAATCCAAACTAGGACATAGGTGACTTGGCACATCCCAGCGACACCTAGTGTGTTTCACTGCCTTGATCTGTCCCACAGCTCCAGCCAGCCAGAGCCGGTGCTAGCCACCTCCTCCACTAGGCTAAAGGCTGTGCAAACTTTAGCTTTGAGTTGCAAATGCCTCGATATTTGAACTCACTCCTGGGGCTAGCTCAGGAATAACATCAAAACCTTCTGCTTCGATATTGGTGCTGAGCTAAAAACAACTTTGGGAACCCTGCCTTTTTTGAACACACGGTCACACATTCACAAACAGAGCTCTGCACACGCTCACATACTCCAGCACTCCCTGACTATCTAGCAGCCAGATACGAAGGTGATCAGACCCCTAGAAACTATCGTCGGCAGTTAATATTCATACTATAGTCATGTCCTAAAATAGCTACCTATCTATTAGAGATGGTCAAAAGCTTTCCATAGACAAGTGGTGGGGTTTTGGTTTTGTTTCGTTTTTTCAATAGAACATGGCTTTTTGATTAAACAGAATTTTTGGTTAAAAAAAGTCCATTTTAATTGAAAAGTGAAAACCAGCATTGGTTCCATTTTTGGCAACCGAAAAATATATTTTTGTTCAAGTTAATACTGGTTAATTTTGGTTGCCAAAACCCAGAATGCTTTCAGTTGTCGATGGAAATCTGAATAATTTTGAAAAAAATTTCAATAAAAAATGTGTCCACATCTTTTTCAGGGGGAAAACAAAATCATTTCCTCAGCTGCTCTGCTGCTGTCCCAGAACGGCCAAACCACCTGAAACTATCAGGCTTCTAGGGGGTGCTAGGTAAGAGGCATATCACCTTCTAGACCAGGTTCCCAGCTGATGTAAATCAGTTTAGCTCTGGTGAAGCCAATGGATCTGTAGCACTTTATACCAGCTGGGGATCTGCCCCTCTGAGTTTTGGCTGTGGCAAATCCCTTACATAGGGGTCAGGGGAAAAAAAAAAACCCAATACCCTGGTGGCTGTGTCAGACTACTGTCTCGAACCCTGCTGTGATGATCATTCCAGGGTATGAAATGCATCTTGATTTCACATGTGATTCTGCACGCCTCTGCACAACAATCACCTTGCACTTCCCCCTCCCTTTCTCTTTCTGCCGTTGAACGGCAGACGGGAGATTTCATTTGCAATAAATATTTAGATTGTGCCTGTGTGTTTATAACACTTGCCGAGAGTGTAACCGGAGCAGCTCAGGCTCTGCAATGACACCTGACGCTGGTGAAAGTTTTCCATCACCTCATGTGGGCCAAACAGCCGCCACGCTGCGATTAGAGCAGGCACGTGGGACCAGTAGCTATGGCCTCTTTGCCTTCCCCCTCCCACGCCGGGGAAATAAGAATAAGAAGACTCAAAATGTAGATTTGGTGAAGAGTTTGCTTCATTGTCCCTTAGGAGCCTGTTATTCCAAAGGAAGGTGGGATTGTGGGGTGGGGGTGGACTGGCGAACCAACCTCTTGCGCCATGCCTTGATGGAGGAACTAAGCTGCCTTGGCATCTAGGTACATTTCCCCAGCACCGCTGGCTCACAGGCACCGGGCAGCCCTGAGGTTTCCAGCGCATCAGGCCTGTTATAGAATTTGTGTGTGTTTTAATGAACGTGTCTTGCTAATGTTTCTTTGGGGGAAAATATTGTTCTTTTGTTTCTCTGTGTAGCCTCTGTAGGACTTTTTGGGGAAGCGCGGCCAACAGTACTAACCTTAGCTTTTATTTTTTTTATTTTTTGGGGGGGTGGAAATAAATCTGTGTGTTCAGTCCCTTCCCTTGTACATATTCCACTTTCCCTCCTTGGATGGCTGCGGGTTGGTTCTCCACTCTGCAGCCTTGAAACTGGGGGGTAGCAGATCATCCACAAACTTAGGAAGATTCTTCCTCGATGGGCAGGTTATTCTATAATTGGCCATTATGGCGTGTTCCTTGCATATTTCTTTGAAACATCTGATACTTGCCGCTGTTGGAGACAGGATCCAGTACTAGATGGGCCTCTGGTCTATTCCAGTTTGGCAATTCCTACAGAAAATTTTAAATTTAGTTCACCAAGGACCAAAATCAAGAAGGAAAAGAGAAAGAGAGAGAGCGAGCCCTTCCTCTTGTTTTAGAAACAGGGGATGGAGGGGAAACATAAGCTCAATTTTATGTGGATTATGAGGCACCTATAAAGAAAGTCATATGAACTGAGACACTTGGCTCTGTTACCTTAATGATACCTACGGTACAATATGTGAAATCTATTACACTATTCTGGATACATATATATGTACGTTTAGAGAGGGAAAGAGAGAGACGAAATCTCGGGGCCTTTATTTTTATTGGCTTCTGCAAAGAATAAATTACACAGTGAGGGCAAGGTTAAATTATTGTAAATGTCTGTATGAAAGGCATCACTTAATTATTAACAGTCTGCTACAAATAAAAGGTACATATGCTAAAATGGTCTGACCTGCTGGATTGTGGGTTGTGTGGTTGTGTGTGTGTGTGTTTTTTAAACTTATTGGTGAGGCCCAGGTCTGACTTGTTCTCTGTCAGGCAGGCGGGAAAGAGATAGGGTGAGGTTTCATTACTGGGTTGCTTATATCCCTCCCTACCAGATGTCAAGTGAATGCCTAGGAAATAGGGGAGGGAAGGAGGGAGGGACAGATGCCAGGCTCTTTGAAAGCAGAGGACAAACCATCGCATGGGGAATGGGACTGTAAAGCCTTCAGTGAGAGAAAAAAATATGATGTAGGTAGCCCATTGGTTGGTGTGTGTTACATGCCCCCCGCTGTGCCTGATCTACGAGACTGTGACTCAATTACAGGCTGACTCTAGCTCCTTGGCTGTGGTGTATGGGAATGGGATGGAGTCCCTTTAAGTAGTTGGTGAGCCCTCTAATGGTGCTCACCATGTTCTGTGTTTTAGACGTCGCCAGTAACCAGAGTAGCAGTGTGTATTTAGCTAGGCCTGCCATATCTGTGTATAGTTGGTGAACACAGATATTTGGGCCCCAATTGTGCCCCTGTGGTATCTCTATAGTTTTGTTGCATAAAAAGCAAAAGACATAAAGACACAGCACTAGCCCAAGCTACAGCAGCTCATGTGGGTATTGCTGGAGGGTCCCAGTTCAATCCCTGATGTCAGCCTAGCGCAGGCTGTCAGCCCAACATTGACTGTGTGAGAACGACTGAGACCGACACATTCGTGACACTGCGCTGCTCACCATGGTCACTTTGAACATTATGGGAACAGCAAGGATAGAATGCAGATCTGGCTGTTGTGGAAGCACAAGCACCACGTCCACTCAAGGAGAATCTTCTTTAGAAGTATGGGGTCTCTGACACACGGGAGAGCAGTTTTGGACTCCTCCACTAGAGGGCACTGGTGTCATTCCAGCCATTTCATGATAGTAGGTTGATGTTGAATTTTAAGGGAAGGTGGCATAGTCAGAGCTGGACTCAGATGAAAGATGAAGCTTTTAGAACTAGTAGGCACGTTGTAATTTTTAAAATTCTGTTTGACTAGGTGAGGAACCATTTTACCCTTCTGATGGTTTTTATATCCACAGTATATCTTTGAAAGGACCAGCGTAGGTGGAGCTGTGCAAAGGAATTGAGACCCACCTACTTGAGAGACCTCCCCAACTTCCCTGTCTCATCTGAGATGAGCAGAGGTGCTCAGGACCGTACAAAGAAGAAGGGTGTTCTCTGTGAAAGACCTGTGGCTTTGGAATTCGCTCTCCCCAGTGGTCTGAAATAGCCCCTCTCTGATGACCGTCAGGGCGTGTTGCAAAACTCCTCTGGCCTTTGAGAATGTGCTGGAGTTGTTCAGCCCAGGAATTGTTGGAGTGGGAAGGGGCTTTCTTGAGTTTTCTGTTGTCTGGCTCACTGGTGGAGAGTTACCCTGAATTGTGTCTCTGCACTGAGGCTGTATTAAAGTTATGCTGAGAATGCATAGAGTGGAGGGGTGAGCACCCTTCTGAATGTACACCTAGATGAAGTAATTAACTCTCTTTCACTTCCTTACATTTAAAATCCTCTTGTCAAACCAGAAGTCATCACTTTCCTGTGATTTCATCTTCCATGTCCAGGCCAGAAAGAACAATTAGGACCATCTTATCTGACCTCCTGCATAACACAAGCCAAGGACTTCACCCCGCAGTTCCTGCATTCAGCCCGGTAACTTATAGCATTCATTTTTAGAAAGAGACATCCAAACTTGGGTTACAGAGTAACAGCCATGTTAGTCTGTATTTGCAAAAAAGAAAAGGAGGACTTGTGGCACCTTAGAGACTAACCAATTTATTTGAGCATAAGCTTTCGTGAGCTACAGCTCACTTCATCGGATGCAAGTGAGCTGTAGCTCACGAAAGCTCATGCTCAAATAAATTGGTTAGTCTCTAAGGTGCCACAAGTCCTCCTTTTCTTTTTGCAAACTTGGGTTAGACGCTCCAAGTGATGGAAAATTTACCATGCCCCTTATTCTGGTGGTTAATTAATCAGTGCCAATTGCACCATTTGCTTCCATGGAAATGTAACATTATTAAGAACATATTTAATATGGATTTTGTTTAGACGTATTTTAATTAAATCTGGCACCTGGAAAGGGTGAAGAGCCAGCACCATGTGACCAGCCAGCTGTCCCCGGACCTACCAGTAAGTGTTCTGCAGACTGCAGTTTGGGAACCTCTGTTCTATGCCATTCATTATTTCATAGCTCTCTGTTGTATCTGTTCTAAGATGCTGCTCCCATTAATAGTAAAAGTCCAATTGATTTCAATGGAAGCAAGATTGGGCCCTTAGCTCATTGCTTTGTTGTGTCATGCATGGAAGGGGAGCATAGCTCTCTGCTTATAGCAACCGATGGGAACAGAATTCTTCACTGAAAGGACGTGACACCACAGGAGGGATATCTTGGAACCAAGAGACAAGCATCCCAAGGCCAAGCAAACTGATGGCAGCAGAGACTGCAACAGACCCCTGGTGCAGCTGAAAATCTCCATCATTCACATGCTATGAACATGAGTGTCCCATCTCCAGAGGACATCTGCAGCCATTCAGGGCCTGTTAGCTGCTGAGCAAACTTAGCTCCCTATTGTGTGTGTAGATGCAGGGACGGAGGACTGTATCTTATCTGTGCAGGTAGGAGTGGGAGTTGGCTGGGGTTGTACATATAGGTTTCAGTTGGATGGTTCTTAACTAGGGTTGTGTGTGGAAGTGTAGGAGTAAAAGATGGTTAGGACTGTGCATGTAGGCCTAGAGTCAATGGTTGTTGACTTAGGTTGTGTCTTTAATTATGATGGTTATGATTGCCTCATAAGGTTGCATGTGTAGCTGCAGGGATCAGGATGGTTGGTTAGGTCTGTGTGTGTTGATGTACAGTGGATGGTTGTTAATTAGGTGTCTGTATGTTGGTGTGGAGTGGATGGGTCTTGGTGAGGGCCACATGTGTCAATGAGGAGTGGCTGGTTGTTGGTTAGGTACGTGGTGGATGGTTGTTGGTTAGGGTTGTGTGTGTGGATGCAGAATGGATGGTTGTTGATTAGGGCTGTGTATCTCAGTGTGGAGTGGATGAGTGTCGGTTAGGGCTGTGTGTGCTGGTATGTGGTGGATGGTTGCTGGTTAGAGCTGTGTGTCTTGATGCAGAATGGATGGTTGTTGGTTAGGGTTGTGTGTCTCAGTGTAGGGTGGATGGGTGTTGGTTAGGGCTGTGTGTGTCGGTGCAGGGTAAGTGGTTGTTGGTTAGGTCTCTGCGTGTCGGTACAGGGAGGATGGTCGTTGGTTAGGTCTCTGTGTGTCGGTGTAGGGAGGATGTTCGTTGGTTAGGTCTCTGTGTGTCGGTGTAGGGAGGATGGTCGTTGGTTAGGTCTCTGTGTGTCGGTGTAGGGAGGATGGTCGTTGGTTAGGTCTCTGTGTGTCGGTGTAGGGAGGATGGTCATTGGTTAGGTCTCTGTGTGTTGGTGCAGGGCGGATGGTCGTTGGTTAGGTCTCTGTGTGTCAGTACACGGCGGATGATAATTGATTAGGTTTCTGTGTGTCGGTGTAGGGCGGATGGTCGTTGGTTAGGTCGCTGTGTGTCGGTGTAGGGCGGATGGTCGTTGGTTAGGTCTCTGTGTGTCGGTGTAGGGCGGATGGTCGTTGGTTAGGTCTCTGTGTGTCGGTGTAGGGAGGATGGTCGTTGGTTAGGTCTCTGTGTGTCAGTGTAGGGAGGATGGTCGTTGGTTAGGTCTCTGCGTGTCGGTACAGGGAGGATGGTCGTTGGTTAGGTCTCTGCGTGTCGGTACAGGGAGGATGGTCGTTGGTTAGGTCTCTGTGTGTTGGTGTAGGGAGGATGGTCGTTGGTTAGGTCTCTGTGTGTCGGTGTAGGGAGGATGGTCATTGGTTAGGTCTCTGTGTGTCGGTGTAGGGCGGATGGTCTCTGTGTGTCGGTGTAGGGAGGATGGTCGTTGGTTAGGTCTCTGTGTGTCGGTGTAGGGAGGATGGTCGTTGGTTAGGTCTCTGTGTGTCGGTGTAGGGAGGATGGTCGTTGGTTAGGTCTCTGTGTGTCGGTGTAGGGAGGATGGTCGTTGGTTAGGTCTCTGTGTGTCGGTGTAGGGAGGATGGTCGTTGGTTAGGTCTCTGTGTGTCGGTACAGGGAGGATGGTCGTTGGTTAGGTCTCTGTGTGTCGGTGTAGGGAGGATGGTTAGGTCTCTGTGTAGATGGAGGAGAGTGGGGTAGAAGCTGGCTAAAGTTTTATGCAGGATGTGTGGAGGGGTGCTGGGGAATGAGGACATTTACCTTTGGTTGGGAGCAGGGCAGGAAAAGGGGCACTGTGGGTGGGTGGGAAATTGTCCAAGAAGGTGCTGCTGGCCTACGCTCGTTCGCACACCTCTCATTCTATTGGTCCTGAAAGGAGCTGCGACTCTGGGCTATGATGTTGTGGTAGCCGCCAACGGCCATAAAATCTGGGGTCTAAACGAAAGGGAAAAAGTGACAAGGGGAAAAGCGAGGTCAGCCCCACCTTGCAGGGTTCTGCTCTGGAATGTGTTTGCACTCCAGGGTGTGCAGCTCCGGAGTGTGAGTTAGCAGCAGTGTTGAGTTAGTAATATGAACCCTACACAAATACCTCCGGGGCAGACAGGTCCATTTCAGGCTGTGTTTATTTAATAAAGAGCCAGTGAAGTAACTGCAATTTCATTGTCAATTTACTAATGCGTTACAGTTATGTTTCTTAACCTCATTGTTTGGGCTCAGAAGCCAGCGGTGCCCAGCCAAGTCTCCCCACCCCCCCTCTAGTGTAAAACACATTTTATTATGACTAGAATGTCTTCTATTTCTCAAAAATTGGGCGGATTAAGGACCCTTGGCTCCCCCCTTCCATGCACATACCCCACTTGGCAACGGGTCGGTTTATGAACCTACTAAAAGCCTTTCTTTCTCCTTTTTTTTTTCTTTCAGAGAAGGAAAAAACACACACATTTTAGAAGTTCATCTGGGAAGAATACAATGGAAACTATGCCTGGAAAGTGAGTAGTCTGTGTGTGTGTCTTTGAGGTCTGGGGAGGTCTGATGCATGCACACTCACCCCCCCCCCCCCTAAAAGAGGAATGAATCTTCAAATGGAGCAAGAGGCTGGTTGTCAGTAGGAGCCTGGGGGGTGATCTAGAACCGGGACTCAGATTCCTTGGGTAGGGGAGAGAAAGGTGTTGAGGAATGAAAGTCTTGTTTGTTTGAGTTTCAAGTGGATTCTTCCCACCCAAGCTTCCTCCACAGGCTTCCTCTGGGGGGCACTTTCCATCTCCCAGTGCTGTGAGAAGAGCTTTTACCCATCAGGACTGACTTAAGAAAAAAAGAAGCTAAAAGCTTTTTGCTTTTTTCCTCCAATGTTTGTCAAAGTTGGTTTCACAGCCAACCTATGTATAAAAAGAAAGGACCAGCTCCTCAGCTGGTGTAAATCAGCATAGCTCCACTGAAAGCATTGTAGCGAGGCCAATTTATGCCAGCTGAGGATTTGGCCCAAAATCTAGATAAAGTCCCCTTAGCATCTGGGTGGCTATAGAAAAAGCAGGGATAATTATTCTAGAATTCTTTCCATCAAGATCCTGAAGGGCAGTGTTATAGCAGGAAGAATTCTAGATCCTTTTCCTGTTAGAAACGGTTGGAAAATAGGGATGGATCTTGAGAAAATGTCTTTGAATTTCCCCCCCACACCCAGCAACATTTCAATGAGAATATTAATGGACATATTGAGATTTTGACCAGCCCTAGTTGCTATGATATGGCCCGATCCAAGGAGTTACCAGACACCCTCAACTCCCATGGACTTCAGTGGCCTCTTGGCACCAAGCAGGTTCAGATGATTGCATGGTAGGACAGTGCGGGCAGCTGGTGTATAGTTCGGGTGGGGAAGGGACACTGTACGCAGGACAGTTCTGGAAATGACACCAATGAGTTCTAGAGTGCCCTTCCAGGCAATGTTGTAGCTTTGCACTGTTTCACTCCTTCCAGCTCTTGGCTCTTTTCATTTCCCAATCTCATCTCACGCCCTATGCCTTGCCCAGGCTGACTGACGAGCTGCTTCCTTTCTGTTCTTACCCTCGCGGCTTTGCTCTTTTTTTCAGGGCCGAGCAGGGAGCAGAGCACCTGGGGGCGGTGGGTTAGAGAGGGGAGAACAGTGTTTTTCCTGGAATGCTGTAGGGCAGAGCTGAGTTGGGGCATTAAGCACAGAGAAAGATGGGAAAGCAGCTGTTAAGGGGTTAGCCATTCAATTCCCTGAGCAGTCACTTGTTTCCTGTGTGAGCTTGAGCAGGTGCCTGAGTGCTACCCTACCTGCCAGGCTAGTGAGGAGGAGAAATGCACTGAAGACAGTGAGGTGCTCAGATACAGCGATGGGGGACATTCAAGGACCTTACAGAGATGGTCAGGGGAATGCCTGTAAAGTGGCAGGACAGGGCTGAGCTGGGGGCCTGCTGCGCTGTAGGAGCCAGAGTTAGCTCAACAAAACAGCCCTGTGCAGGTGTGTACGTGTGTGGGTGTGCATCCGTGTGTGTCTGTGTGTGAAATAATTGTTGTGTTGACTTTGAAGGAGTGAGTTTTGAGGAAGATTTAGCTTTGAAATCTTATCTATCTAACCCCATCCACCCCATTCATCTATCTATCTATCTATCTATCTATCTATCTATCTATCTATCTATCTATCCCCATACACCACATCTATCTATCTATCTATCTATCTATCCCCATACACCACATCATCTAATCTATCTATCTATCTATCTATCTCTCTATCTATAGATTATCTAATCTAATCACTTTAACTGTAGCAGAGCTGGCATGCTGCTGTAATCTAGTAATTTATACAGCCTCAAAGCAGCAATTTAAAGACCGGGTTTCACTCCTTGTTCTGAAGGCTCTTGATTTTGTTGGTTTAACCGGTGCTTCTCAACTTTTTTCCTTGAAAACAGTATATCTCTGTGTTAACTTTCCCCTGTTGGTTTTAACATAAGGAAGTGAGCCTCCCCTGGATGGACAGGAAAGCCAACATTTAACACAGGGCTTTCCCCACACCATATTTTGAACATATCCAAACGCCTCCAGAGCAGACAGCTGCGATGCCCTGCCCTGCCCTAACCTCAGCCCTGACCTAGAGGGACCACACTGTCTAGTCCATGAAAGGATTCAATTCAGCCTTCATGCCCGATCAGCAGCCGGGCCCCTCTGCAATACAAACTGCCAGTCGTGACAAATTACACGGGGCGGCTTCAGAGTGGAGCTGAGAACTGACCCCACTCGGCTCATCCCAGGGCTGTGAAACTGGACTTGAACCACACCTCTGGCGGGATGCAGGGTCTTTGTCTGGTGAGCAGCCTTGTGCACTCATCCGAACAAAGCAAGCATGGATCTGGGAGTTCGCCTGGTTCTGTAATTAGAGGGCAGATTTCAGCTAATCCCTCTCTAAATGAAGGTCTAATTCCTAGTGTAAAAACTTGTCAGCTGCTTGTTAACAGCGCTTTGGACTTGCTCTCACGTGGGCTTCATCAGTTGCAGAAGCAATTCCACTAGTAACTTTTTGGTTTGGAATGGGAGCGTACCCACTGCTGAATGCAACCTCGTGTCTTCACACTGGCCATGTTAATAATACGCACCTTAAATCAGAGGGTTAGAGGGAAAAAAACCAGCAGCAGCGTTAGTAGGGAAGGGGGTTATTTAATATTGAATTTGTTTTTTTTTTTTAAATGTGGAAACTTTTAGACACAATCCCGGCCCTGTGTTTAAGTCATTAAAACATCTTTAAGCATTTTCTGGTTTTAGTTTTCTTAGCAGCAGTCCTTTTCCTGGAATGTATTTTATTTTTCTTTTAAGTTGATGGAAAAAACCCCCCATAACCCTCACATTTCCAACAGATTTTTTAAAGGGGGAGGTGGGGAGGAGGGCGGGAAAGGGGGGGGATTAGGGGTGGAGAAACTGAGAGAACAGGGCCCTTTCTGTGTTTTATTTCTAATCCGCAGGAATCCATTTTAGCCTTTTATGGCCGTTGCACTTGCTGACGGGATTTACATTCTCCGTATGTTATCTGAAACATCGCAATTGGTGGCTGTGGAATTGTTTCATGCTTGGGTTAGAGAACACGCCAGTGCTTCTGGAAGGCTCTGGGGTGGGGGAGAGCTGGGCAGCAGGCAGCGAGAGAAAGGGAAAGCTTTAAAAAAAGAGAAGAGGAAAAGAAAAGAGCTAAGCATTTTTTGCAGAAGCTTCAGCCGGCAAAGTTCACGCCCCAGACAAACTGATGTTTAAGTAAACCAGAGAGGGTATTACACGTCCCTTTGATTCCAACACTGTTCTAGGCTAGGAAAGCAGCGATGTAAAAATGCCACCTTGTTACTTGCTGGATCCCCAGCTCGCTGCTTGTCTTTTGAGCTGCATCGGCTGTCTTTACCGACGCACAGATGAGGTTTTGATCCTATCAGCCAGCACCGGTATGGGAAAGTGAGCGGGAGTCCCTTCTGCATTATGCATCAGGGGTGAAACTGATAGCGAAGTGCTGACGGCAGAAGCTTTATGGTGGATTCTGTGGTAGGAGGTAGCCCCAAGATAGTGTGGGGATGAGTGAGGTATGAAATACAGATAGAGAAAAGGATCTAGGGTAGGTAAGTAGATAGATAGAACCCAACTGATCTGTCATTCTCAGGTTTTTATACCACACTATCTGATTGCCTGTGTGTTTGTCTGTCCTCTGTCCTCCTGTCCAACAAATAGTCCTCTCAGTTTGGTTCTTGAGTGGTGGGATCGACTGTAGACGGACAGGTGGACTCTTGGTAGATAATGGAGGCATCCGATTTGGTCTAATATGGCATTTGCAAACTGGCACATTATTTACTCTGCTGTACATTCTGTTTCTTCCTGCCATTCATGCTCCTCGCCTGGCTTGTCTATTTAGACAGCAAGCTTTACGGGGCAGGGACTGTATCTCATTACATGTCTGTGCAACACCTAGCTCAGTGGGGCCCTGGCATTGGAGTGGGCCTCCAGGCATGACCAGAGTACAAATGAACAGTAATTAATCATTTACACGTACAGGAACGGGAGGGGACTGAGCCCCACCCTAACAGTGAACCTGAGACGAGCGTAAAGTTTAGTTCTACTTTCCAGAAATAGAGCGGGGTCAACAAAATGTTTCTTTGTTTTTCCTAAACATTTTTGAAGAGAACAAAAAATATTTGTTTTCATCTATATTTTCCCCTGATATTTTTTGTTGTTGAAAACCAGAAACCTGGTGGCGGGGGTTGTTGTGTTTTCCAATAAAATTTCAGTGTTTTCAGGCGCTTCCAGTTTTGGGTTGGAGCCCAGCTTGAGACACCTTAAAGGGGCCTGGTTTATAGATTACATCGTGCCGACCGCCCACCCATCTGAAAATGAGGCTCATTTGAAGTGCCTCAAGCTGGGCAACCTAAGTCACTAGTCACTTTTCTAAATCGTGGTCACTCCCCACTAGCTGGACTGACTCTGCGGTTGCATTTTATTTTCCCCACCAAAGTTAGCAGGTAGGTCTCTGGAGAAGCAAAGGGAGCCAGTCTATTGAATCAGTCGGGGCCATTTTTACAGAATCACTCTCCTGCCCATGGCCACACTTCAAACTCTTGAGGGAGGGACTCCAGTTTTTTAATAGCTCATGGGAGAACCCAGGAAACATGTAAGTTTTATGGAGTCTGGAGAATATTTTTAATATTTTATATGGGCTGTCTGGAAAAAATGTTTGGAAAAACGTTTTCTATGGGGGGAAAAAAACTGCATGAGCAATTATTTTTGTTTTTCTCTAGCTCCCTTCCTGAATGGAATTACCACAAGTCTGAAAAGGTTCTACGGTCTAGAACCCAAGGACCCGATTCTCAGCGGGTGTAAATCAGCATAGCTCCATTGAAGTCAAGGGACCAGATCCTCAGCTAGGGTAAAGGAAGACAAAGGAGCTGCATCAATTTCCATCAGCTGAGACTCGTGGCCTCATGTGGCTTTAGAGGCCATGGTCTGGAACCCATGTAACTTTGAAAGCTTTTTGAGAGTTCTAGAATTCTCGGTGTCCTGAAAGGCTCTGTGTTCTAGAATGTCAGTGTTATAAAAGGTTCTACACAATGTGATTTAAGATCCCTAATCACTTATTTCTAACTCTTTTTCTCGGTTCATTATTTTATTAATTTAGCAGTGATCGAGTCCTGAGAGATAATAGGTGGCCTATGAATCATGGCAGGGGATCAGTCTTTGCATTCTATGGAAGAAGAGCAGGATTCTGCGTTGGATTCTGCAGCTGAGAGCATCAGTTATTTATGGTCTATATGTTTGCTGTAGTTTATGTGTGCTTAGCGTGTGGGTGTGTGGTCTGAGCACGCTCAGTGCATGGATATGTGTTGTGCACATATTCAGTCTGTGTATGTGCATGCTGTGTGTGTTCTGTGCATACTCAGTCTGTGTATGTGTGTGTGTTGTGTGTGGGTGTTCAGTGTCACGTGTTCTGTGCATGATCAGTGAGTGGATGTATGTTCTGTGCATACTCAGTCGGTATGTACGTGCTCAGTGTGTGTGTTCTCTGTGTACTCAGGGCGCACGTGTATTTCTGCTATGTATTCTTGCACAAATCCCTTTCTAACCTCAGCCAAGTTTTCCTTTTAGTTCCCAATCCAATCCTAATTGGGAACCCAACTTCCAGCTCATTTATGACCAGCAACCCATTTCCCCACGTCTCTGACTCTTCCCACTCCCCTCCCCGCCCTGTGGACAGCATGGGGGGTTAGCATGCTGGTCCCCTGGCAAAGCCTTTGTTTCAAGGCCTATCTTTGGCTGCAATAAATCATCTGGCATGCGAGTGGGACCCACCACACCCTCTTTGCACAATGCAAATTATGGTGCAGTCTCTGCCTCCCATCACCCTCTGTCTCTCATTCGCTCGTGGGAATCAGGTTACGCTCTCCATCCCTGTGAGTGAAAGAACCCACCTGTGGCTGAGGGGCCTGTTTTAGATTCCTGGGAAACTTTAACCTCTATTAATACCACTAAATTATTTCTTCATATGGCAAAGTACTTATGTAAACCGATCTCCCCCCACCCTCCTCCCCTTCTTGGAGGAGGTAGGAGCCCTTGCACATATGGCTCTACCTGCTCTCAGGGGGCTTTCAAACCCGCCGCATGCTTCTGTGGTGCTGCTTTGTGTTGAACAAGAACGTGAATTGGCTGGGAGGGAGGAGCACACATGATGCGGAGGGCGGGGGAAAGAGCACCATGATAATTGGCACCAAGGACTGGGGAACAGCAGCAGGTTGTGGAGTTACCAGTACGCTTTTAAGGGAGCTTGTCTGACCAGTGTTACCAAGCCTACATCTGATTCAGACCTCCCTAGGGCTGGAGTGGATGCAGAGCAGCCGTCCTGGGATCAACTGGGCCTTGTTCTTGTTCACGCTATGGGCTCTTTGCACTGCACCCACTTCAAAGCCCCTGTGTGCTGCCCGATCGGTGTAAAGGGGCCTTAGTATAAATGAGAACCAGGCCCCATTGAGTCTTTCCAGGGGTGGCACCCATATTCCCAACCACAAGCTTTCTGAAATAATGAGTCAGCTCCCCCTCCCCCCCAAATCTTATTACCGGCTAAAAAATCAGGACGTTTAAAGACAGTTCTTTTCTGATTTTTGAGACTTTAGGGGATCACGTTTTCAAGCTTTACTTCACTACCACGTGGGCTAGGAACGTCCTTTTTTTAAAAAAAGTGAAAGCTGCCTGAAACCCCCATGTAGCCACCTGACTTCAGGAGCTGGGGCTTTAAGAAGAAACACCACAAGTGGTGAGAATTGTCAACACTGGTGTAATTTAAGTCAGAAGCAGGCCTGGGAAACCTGGGTTCAATTCCCACCTCTGCCACAGACTTCCTTTGTGACCGGGGGCAAATCACTTAGCCCTGGTCTACACCTAAAACATAGGCTGACCTAGCCTCATCATGCAGGGCTGTCAAAAAATTCACAACCAAGGCAACATCATTAGGGTCAACCTAGCCCCCAGTGTAGACCTAGCTACTGCCTCCTGAGGGGATGGATTTACTCGAGATGGAAAAATGCCTTCCGTCACCGCAGTAAGTGGCTATGTTACAGGGCTACAGCAGCTTAGTTGCAGTGCTTGTAGAGTAGACTTACCCTTAGACTCTGTGTGCCTCAGTTTCCCAGTAAAATGGGGATAATTTAGGGGCACCCCTGGAAACCCCCAACATAGATACTTTTAAATCATGTTCAGACTGATTCAGGTTAATTCAGTAAAGTGCTGGATTAAGCTAAACTTGTTTAAGCGTGATTTAAAACAGTCTAAACATGTCTACATTTTCAACCAATTTAATTACAACACTGCAAGGTTTCTAATGTGGACTGTGTTTTAAAGGAGTTTAGAAACTGTGGGCTTCATTCTTCCTTGTCCTGCACCTTGTGGAGTCATTTACACAAGTGTACAGTGCCTTCCTAGGTAGGGAGATGGGCCAAATTCAGCTGTGAAAGTCAGTTGTGTTGCATCTGCTTACATCAGATTTGCATTTGGCCTAGTCTTTAGCACCAGGCAAAGATGGATCTGTTATCTATTCCCAGAATGTCCACAGGATTTAGGGTTTACTCACTGGAGATCACTGCACTGATATAACTTGAATCAGCCTTTAAACCCATTTAAAGTAGCGCAAAATGCTGTATGGATGCCCTTAATTCAGTTTGAATGGCTTATTTTGATTTAACTTAAACAAACAAACAAACAAAGCCACTCTTAAATGGAAATAAGAGTGTCTGCACTGCTTTTTGCATTACTTTAAATCAGTTTCAATTTGCACCATAACTTACACTGGTGAAACTTTCCCATAGCAAGTCTGTAGTCAACTTTACCCTGCTTTGAAACGGAGATGCAATGTAACTTCTTTCACAAGTTACCCCATGAGCACCCAGCAGGCATTGCTACACAAAGAGCCATGTAGATCGCTGGTATAGGACTGGGGAAAGGTGCTGGAGACTGAACCCGTGTTTCTCTCAAAAACTGAGCAGGTGGACATCAGGTTGGTCTAAGCACAGGGACCAACAGCAGTGGAAAAGGAAACCCTCTGTTAACCGTGGCACTGGCAAAATGGGGGGCCTCTGTGGGCCTCAGTTTCCCCACCTGTAAAATGGAAATAGTAGTTCTTCCTTTGTCATGTCCATTTGGAGCGTAAACTCTTCAGGGCAGGGACTGTCTCTTATTATGTGTATGCATAGCACCCAGCACAAGGGGGATGCATAGCACCCAGCACAAGGGGGCCCTGATTTCAGATGGGGCCTCCAAGTGCTACCGTCCTACAAAGAGTAATCTGGATCTAAATTGTACAATTGACCCCTCTGTCCAGCACGGCCCCAGTCAAACTCCTAAAATCCAATCACCACCCATTTGATGGTGATTAACCATTGGATTAAACTACCAGGAGAACTGGTGGATCCTCCATCTCTTGATGTCATCAGATGGAGACCGGGACCCAGATCCTCAAAAGTATTTTGACTTCAAGAATGGTTAAGCACTTAGATACTTTTGCAGGTCTGGGCCTGGGTGCCTTTCTGGAGGATGCTTTCGTCAAACACAAGTTACTGGGCTCAATTCAGGAATAGCTGGGGGAAATTCTCTGGCCCACATTAGACAAGAGACCAGACTGGATGATCTATTGGTCCCTCCTGGCTTTAAACTCTATTAAATCTATTTTCCCTCCCAGGAAATATAACTGTAGTTTGAGATCGACAGCCCCCTAGAAAAACCTCCCTCTGAAAAACAACAGCGCAAAATAATAAAATAAATAATAATATAATAATAATAATATAATATAATTAATCCCTTCCAATATAAAATGAAATAAGGAACAAGATGCAATTAACAATGTGCAAACAGCAGAGGCTGGAATGTAAATTGTATTTAAATAGGGCTGTGAAGAATGTTGCAGTCCTTTAATGGCTTCTCCTTCTCCTGCTGTCTTGAACCTCCAATCAAGCCCTGCCTGGGTGTAATTTGGTGCTGGAAATTGTTGCCACACGAACAGCTGAAGGTTGGAAAGGTCACCAGCCCCCCGTGTCACACCCTGTCATTTTAGATTAAGATCTGCAAAGGCGACGTGGCTGCAAACTTTCCCTGTGCTGCTGTGGCTGCATCCATCCCCTCCGCTGTAATGAGAGGAAGGCGTAATTGGAGTCAACTGCTTGATTATAATAATTGCTACTGTCTGGGGGAAGAAGCATTGGAGGCTGGCAGTTCGATCAATACTGCACCTTTCTGGCGATTGCTGTCTGCTAGGCTGCTCACCAGCAGATGTGCCTGGGTAGAAAAAGGGCTTGCTGGCCTCTTGACCTCTGCTTGACCACTTGTTGACTCGGGGATTTCAGCCAGGGTCAAGGGGTTTCTGGTTGTTCTCTGCTCCTTGCTGGAGGATTTATCCCCTTAGAGGGAAAGGGCCTTTATAAACTTTATCCCCAGCTCTTCACAGCTACACAAGTGGAGAACAAGGCGCCATATATTTTCCACCAGGAAATTTATCATTTTCATTGTGTGCCTCAGCAACAGTCTGTGGGAAGTGTCGCCTGGAGGCTCAGCTGGTCAGTCTGTCACTCCCTGTATATTTCTCTTCATGGTAAGAGGAAAGCGGGGTTAAGGCAGTAGCCTGGGTGCAGGAGAGGTGGGTTCAAGGCATGGCTCTGCCCTGCCACTCACTCCCTGCGTGACCTTGGCTAAGCTGTTTATTCTCTCTGTGCTTCAGTTTTCTGTCTATAAAATAGAGCTCACACCTACTATGTGAAGAGTCATTCGTTAATGTTTGTAAAGCGC